GAGCCATCCAGCTATTTGAAGACCGTTCCCATCAGGGCCCATGAGAAGCAGCCACCTCAGGCGGTGGGAGCAGGAGGTGGCGCCCCGTGGGCATCCCAACACCTCTGGCACTGGCAGAGAAGTGGCACTGATTTCCAGTGGGCAGGGGCATTGCCTCTTCAGCTTCCAAGTAAGGGCGGTACAGTGCAAATTCGCATTTCACCTCAGGAGGGACACTCCATGCCTGATTCCCATGCCTTTCCCTAACCTTTTATCCACACCCAGATCATCCAAATATTCCCCACCGGACTTGGCTTGAAGACCTCTCACCCTAGTGATTCCTCTTCTTGTCTTGTATTTGTCAGACTTCCAAAGCCATATATTCAGAGCTATCTCAAGTTAATAATTATGTGTGGTGATAACTGCAACAGTGATGTTGCTTTTTAAATTTAGAAGCTGAAGCAATACCTCTTAGGAGGTGTGGTGCATTATTATAAAGATGGTGATACTTCTATCGAACAAGACCAGGCAGAAAGAACAAGAGCTGTCTGGAAACCAAAGAACTCTCTTTCCATGGAGACCTATCAAAATCCTTACTTCTTTCAGACATGCTATAAAGATGACATTCAGATTGAAGTTTAGCAAGCTGGGTTACTGTAAAATATTATCAGGCTTTTAGTATGTTTTACTTTCTTTAAATCTATCTTTTCCCTGTATTTCTTTTTAAAATGGTAATCCTTTGAATCTGTATTCTACTTTTAAAAAAATCTATTTTTAATAATCCAAAATATGCAGATAACTTTGCCTTGCCATTAACTTTATCCAACATCCAATATGCATATATAAGGTACTAACCTTTAAATTTGTATAACCTTTGTATCCTAATCTGGACTAGCACCTAAAGCAGTGCTAACCCTCACAGTCAAACACACAGTCTTATGGCACATGCAACAACCTGTTTATTGAGCAGTAATCCTGATTTGGTTGCACAAAGCTTTTGTGGATGTTATGACAACACTGTCTTTATTGAGCATCCAATCTGATTTGCTTGTGTGGTGTTTATACATCTTCCTATTAAATATTCATTCACCCCACTTTTCAGAGTATTTCCCTGTTACTTTCCTAACTGCAAAAAGTCAGGTGGTTTTTTAAAGTGGTTTTGTTGTGCTAGACTAACAGAGCGCTTTAATAAAATTTAATTGTACAAACCTAAAGTTCTGGTAAAATGCTGACAATCGAGAGGTGCCCTTAGACATTGGAGAATTGCCACAGCAGTGCAAATGAGGTCAGGATGCATCCATTTCTTTCCCTTAAGTGGAGAGCCAGAGTTCCAGCTGTCCCTTGTCACATATCTTGGCTTTTAGTCTCTTTAAAGATCCATTGAGCCAGTTATACTTTATGAATTATTTTTATGTGACATGCTGTTTCAGAATATAACGTGAAAGTGTCTTGAAAGAACTAAGTAATTGAAAATTGATAAAACTTCTAAGATGAAAGCTTTCCCTGTGTTATTCATCAGGAAATCAATTTTAATGACTTTCATCTCTCCCTATAAACCACATCTCCAAGATGTCCCGTTCTTCACCTGATGCTACAGTCTAGTCATTTAGGAAATATCAACTGGGTAAGTATTTTGTTTTGTTCTATAGAAGATTTCTACTTAATAGATCACTATCACAGTGCAGCATAAATACAAACAGACATTGTCTTCACTAGTGATTTTTCTCCCGTTAGCAAAAAGACAAACAACTTGTTTTTACAGCACAGTGCATAGTTCTTTTTTAAAGCTTCAATTATATTATCTTTTCATATGAATTATAAATCTACAAAGCTGCTATACATGGAACACGCTTGGAAGAGAATACATGCAAACAGATGATTTTTTTTGTCCAATCAGTAAGAGGGTTGGGACAAAGAGTAAATAGCTTCCATATAGCTCCGTTGGTTAGAGAATGCTGATAACACCAACGTAGCAGGTTCAATCCCCTTATGGGATGGTTACATATTCTTGCATTGCAGGGGGTTGGACTAAATGACCCTCAGGGTCCCTTCCAGCTGTATGATTCTATAAAGTAGCATGGCTATTTTTATTTTTTAAAACTCATATATATCTACATAATTATTTAAGCAGTTCCTTCTGTGGTATGCATCAACAAAATAAATGGAGTACAGTGTGTTTGCCGACAACCCAGACAGTTCTACAAGAATGGTTTTAGGCATGAATAACTGTCAGAGCCCAGCAAGGTCAGAGGCAATGAAATAGTCCACAAAAGCTGGTCGCCAGGTTCTGGAGAGGGCAAACAAGGACCTGAAGGGCCAGAGATGAGTGGCTCAAACTAATGTCAGTTCTTAAATAAAACCACGAGGGCCACTATTAGTCCCAATGTGGCAGCTAGACTGGTGTCTGGGAGCAGCTGCTGAGACCATATAACACCGGTCTTAAAAGTCCTACACTGGCTCCCAGTACGTTTCCAAGCACAATTCAAAGTGTTGGTGCTGACCTTTAAAGCCCTAAATGGCCTCGGTCCAGTATACCTGAAGGAGCGTCCCCACTCCCATCGTTCTGCCTGGACACTGAGGTCCAGCGCCGAGGGCCTTCTGACGGGTCCCTCGCTGTGAGAAGCCAAGTTACAGGGAACCAGGCAGAGGGCCTTCTCAGTAGTGGCACCCGCCTTGTGGAACGCCCTCCCACCAGATGTGAAAGAGAAAACAACTACCAGACTTTTAGAAGACATATGAAGGGAAGCTTTTAATGTTTAATAGGTTATTGTATTTTAATATTCCGTTGGAAGCCACCCAGAGTGGCTGGGGAAACCCAACCAGATGGGAGGGGTATAAATAATAAATTATATTATTATTATTATTATTATTATTATTATTATTATCCAAATCCTAGGCTTTCTGGCTACAAATACCCTGCCTGCCACTCAAGCCAACTAGTCCCTCTACCAATAAACCGACTCAGTGGTAGAGGGTGGGGTGACAGAGGGAAGGGCATCAATGCCCTGTGGCCAAGTTTCCTGTTTCAAGCCCACCAGGACCTAACAGGAACAGGATCAGTTTTTCTGGGTGCAGAATCATGTATTTATTTATTTTTTTTAAATGTGTTATTATTTTATTTATTGCATTTGTACCCCATCTTTTTCTCCAAGGAGCTCAAGGTGGTGTGGCTGGTTCTACCATTCCTCATATAATCCTCACAACAATCTTGTGAGGTAGGTTCAAGGCTGGCACAAGGCATTTTGGCACCTAAAGCAGACCTCAAAATGGCATTCCCCTCCCTGCCAGGGAACAAGGGCTGAGGAAATATATACATCAGGGGCAAGGGTGGGTGGGTAGGAAGATTGACATCAGAATCTGCTGCCCCAGGGGATCCTTCCACCTGAGGCAGTTACCTCATCTTGCCGCGTGGGTGGGCTGGCCCTGGGTAGGTTAGGTTGAGAGGCAATGACTAGCCCATGGATTCATGATTGAGTAGGAATTTGAACCCTGGTCTCCTAGGTCCTAACTTGACATTCTAGTCATTACAGCATACTGGCTCTCAGGAGATTTCTTAATTTCTTTGGCTGCCAGGTCTCCAGTGCATGATGCAGTACAAGCAGAGGGTCTCATGTGATTGCACTATGAGGATAGCATCAGAGCATTGTTCTGCAGCTGTAGCACAGGATTATGTGCTTTACTGTCTCTGCTCATGTCAAGTGGCTAGTCCTCTTATACTGGGGAGATGGGGGTGGGGAAGAGAGAAAGCCGTTTCTCCTATAAATATACAGAAGCTAAGCATCACATTGTACTGCCTTCCCAATACATAGGCATTTTTGGAGTGCCTCATTGGTCCTATTTTTAGTCCTTTTTATTTCTCTGATGTCACATCTAGTATTTACGTTAGAAAAGATGCTAAATTATGACCATTAAGAAATTATAGCAACTATTGTAAGGGGAAGTCATACAAAACTGTTTGATTGGCAACAGAATTTGGGTAATAATAATAATAATAATAATAATAATAATACATATTTATTTGTACCCCACTCTCCCCGGCTGGAGCCAGGCTGGGGGCGGCTAACATCATAAAACGAACACAGTGTACAAAGAACAGAAGAACATAAAAACAGGCAATATATATCTATATCTATATAGATATATATACATACACACACACACACACACACACACACCAGTTTTGCTCTGAGATCCTTCTGTACTGTATGCTTTTTATTTTTTGCCCATTGACTGTAATAAATTGAATGACTGATAATAAATCTGATAGTCTTTCAAATAAACAAATGATATTAAGAACAGATCCAAGAAACAGCAGATAAACTGCTGTAGCAGATTATCACAGCTACCCATTTAGAAACTACCTGTGTATTGTTCATTTAAAGATCAACCTGGTTTTGGTTAGTTTTAATGATAATGATCACATGCCTACAGATGTCTATTTTAACCAGGTATTATTATTTTTTGCTATGTTGCACCTTAAATGAACAAGTTAAGATGGCCTTTGCATATACTTTTTCAGCTGCACAAATATTCACCCTCCCACTCCCCTGCTACAACATTCAGAAGCTGATTGAGACTACAAATAAAGTTTTATGGGACATGAATCACACAGGGTTTGAATATCCTACATGGTGGTGTAGCTATATTTCTTATGGAAGGCTACAGTACTTAATCATATTTTTTCCTCTGGAAATTTACTGTTTGGGGTATATAAGTATGTTTTATCCCTCAGAGGAAATAGCTTTATCTGGAAATATTTCAGTCTAAAATAATAAAAGTGGAAAATCCACAATTTAAACCACAATATACGTAGTAAAGTTTTGGGGTTTTTCCTCCTTAAACATTCAGGGAAAGGCTTTTTCAAGACCAAGTAAGAAAACTGAACAAATTTGTATTTCAGAAAATGGGGTCAAAGTCTTAGGCAGCCCTAATGTAGGGCAGATAGAAGCGCAAGCACGCAGCCAAAGGCATTTCAAAATGGTTTGTTGCAGATGCTCACACAATGGAACAGGGATGCTATCTGTAAGTCAGAAAAAACATGGCTCAGTGGTAGGGCATCTACCTTGCATGCAGAAGGTCCCAGGTTTGATCTCAGCATCTTCAAGTAGAGGTGGGAGAGACCCCTGTCTGACATCTTGGAGAGATGCTGCCACTCAGTGTTGCCAATACTGAGCTAAATGGACCAATGCTATAAGGCAATTTTTTATGTGGCCTGGAGGAAATCCTGGAGCCAGACAAAGAGGCCTGAAGGACTCCATTTGGCCCCTTATAAGATTAGCAATACACGTAATTATAATGTATTGCTTTATGTAGAACCTTATACCCATATCTGACAAATGGTTGAGGAAATACAGCAAAAACAAGATTTCGATACTGAAATGAGATAATAAGTGTTCTAGAGACAAGCAAAAGGCCTTGTAAGAGTCTTGGAACAATGGACATTTTTGTGATCCAAGAATATTATTTGTTACCATGGCATGAAACATTTTGGCAGGCATCAAACATGAAATGTCATAAGCTGTCAATTTTCAAATACTAAATACCATTGAATATTATCTATCAGATGCTGTCAGAAACTAAACACTATTAAATGTCAGCTATCAGACACAGTTAGAAAGCCCTGCATGACAAATATCAAATACCATTGGTCATATGTGGACTGAGAAGATTTTTTGGGGGGGGGAGGCAAATATTTGGACATACAGAAAATAGCTGAATAATTGTGGGCTGAAATTTGCAGAGGTGAATTGTAGATCTGGTGAAAATTAGCAAACTCTAAATCTGAAGTGGGGAGCTCTGGCCCACAGGCCAATAGTGGACTGTGACATCATTATCTCCAAACCATGCCCAGCTGATGCCACTGGGTGATGTTCGATGAGGGGCAAAGTGTGGGGTTCAATTCTGCTAGTGGCTGCTTCACCAGAACATTCCCTACAGGAAACATGCTTGCAAAGCAGACCCAAGCAGAGAGCAAGATGGAGCCTTCAGCTGGTGAGCAGAGAATTCAGTATTGCTGGGCACAGGCGCTGGGTTCTGCCCAACCTTGGGGGTGCCCAATGCAAACTTGTGATGTCATGCAGCAGGACGGGACTACAAGGCCCATTGAGGTGGCAGGAACACCTTTTACACCGCAGCCATAGGTAGGCCTGGTGAGGCCCGCCACAGCAAGGTCCAATGAGGTCCAGCCCCTCAAGATTGCAGAAACTCAGCCCTATCCCAATATATTGAGTGGGGAAGCTAAGGTGTCTTCAGCCCCATGTGGGTGGCTATGCTGCAGGGTGTTGCTTTGCTAGCACATTTCCTGTGGTGAACAAGCAGACTCTCCCCACACACCCATAGGTAAAATTTGAAGAATTATAGTTGACAAAGAAGTGAGGCTTACCCTACACTCTTACTACCTGGTACTAAGTGCATTTAAACCCAATGGACCTTACTTCCAGCTGGACATGTCTAGATTGCACTGCCAGCAAAACTTTGGTAGGTTAGCAGCCTTGGATTGAGCAGTCCGGAAGCCTCCAGCTCCCATAAGCCCTATTCAACACAGCCAATAGTCAGGGATCATGGGAATTGCAGTTCAAAACATCTAGAGAGCACTTGGTCAAGGGAAGGCTTGGCTAGAGTATAAAGCATTAGAGCCTTTATGCTTGAAGGGCAAATTGGACATTGCCCTTGTAGTATGGTCTCATTCTGTCTCAGCCTTGAAGTTCTCCCTCATAAAGCTAGAATAGTTATAGCTTTCTGATCACTCAAGAGGAAGCATTTAAGATGGAGGAAATGTTCTAACATCCAAACTGAGCTAAATCATGACTAATAACCACCCATGAATATTATTCTCTTATTCTATGCTGTGATAAAGAAGGAGGATGGGGAAATCAAAAGGAAAAAGAGAGTACTTGGGGGAATAAAAACATTTGGTTTTGGTTTTTTAATATTTAAATGAATATTCCTAGAAAAAACTTATCTGGGTTTTGTTTTAATGATATATAGAGAATGTTTCTGCAGCCCTAGCACCAGCCCACAAAAGTAGAAGAGCATTCTTTGGTTAGTTCCCTGAGGTCCACAACATCTCCTCACACCCTCCACAATGTGTCTGAAACAATAATATTTTTGACCACTACCCCAGTGTTTTGCTCACTATTCCAGCGGTTCCTGGTGCCTACTTAGGGTTCATGTTTCCTTTGGAATGAGGGCAGCGGAGATGGTGGTGTCTTTATGACAGATGGTTAATTTACACATGTAAACAACCTGAACCTACAGTGGAGGGGTTCGCCACATTAACACCCCAAGAGGGCCTTGTTTCCCCCCATAGTCGCAGCCTTGGATTCAAACAGAAAATCATACATCATTCTGTTTCTCTTGGTTCCCAGTTTGCTGCTTTCTGGCTTTCTGCTGCTTTCTAGCCCACATAATTCAACTCTCAACTCCAGCCTTTTGTCTTTCTAAGTATCCACAAGTTGAAGGAGTGAGCCCCACCCATTTGTGATTTCACAGAGCCACTTCCTTTGTCCTCCTTAATGGCTTAGCACCTCACCAAGAAGCTAGCCTGGCTATTCCCAAATCATAACAATATGTCATGGAGTAACAACATTCCAAATGTAGCATTTGGGAAGAGCATGGCGGCCTGGTTGGCTGCCAGTGCTGGTGCAAATCGTGGTGCCACCTGAGCCAATTACCTAATTTTGTCCTGTGGGTGGGCTGGCCCTGGTAACTGCCAATTGTATCTATTCCCAGCTGCAATTTTTCTGTAAAAATTAAAAATGAATGCTGTCATACCCCACCTTTACTGGAAATTCTCTTGCCACTGTTTTTTAAACCTTTCCTTAGCAAACAAAACCAACAAGGGAACATTTTTCTGAATCCACTTTTGGCCCCCTCCCCATACCTCCTGAAATCACTGCGGGGGCGGGGAGGACTGATAGAAAGCTTTGGAACAGCACTATTTAATTGAAAGCTAGCATAAAAAGAAAATGTCCTGCTGATTCTGGGCACAGTATTTGCCTCATTTTGTTATATGATTCTACTTGTCAGGAAACTTTTAAAACAACAACAACAACAACAACAACCCCAAAACACTCTGTTCTTAAAACATAAATATAATATTGCCTACAAAAAGTGACTTAGCCTGGATTTTCTTAACATTTGTAGGCAAATATTGTTGCCCATTACTTTTCCCTAGCTGTTATTGTAAATCATATCCTCGGTTGCACTCATGCAGTTACTGGTACTGGGCATCATTCAAAGATGACAAGAGAAAACAGCAGATAATGCCTCCAATTATAAGACATTTTTTAAAATGGTAGATTAAAGTAAATTCCCTTTACTCCAATCTGCACTGTTATCTCCCAGCTTTATGGCTGTCCTCTGATGGCTTTGGCAGGATATATTTGTATCACTATCAGGGCAACTAGAACAGCAACCTTTGCCAACCAGGTGCCATCCATATGCTTTCAAACTGCAACTCCTGTCTTGGCTGGGATGATGGGAATTATAGTCCAATACATCTGGAGGGCACTTGGTTAGTAAAAGCTGAATAAGAGTGACAAATCGTGGCAAACACAAATGCTCTTTTATTTCCTCTGATCCAGCAAGGAAGATCTGTGTATTGAAGTCGCTATTTATACATTCAGGTTTGCAGATTCTGGGAAAGCCTTCATGTATACAACCATAGGCACAGAGACTACCTTGCTACAGGTGTTCACACTGTATGTAAAGATATTGAGAAAGGTACTCACAACATCTGGAGTGTAGCTACTTGGCATGGCCTGATTGATTACTTGGTCCTGTATTGTTGGACTTGGGAGCAAATAACTCTTGAATATGGTTTTCCCCATTTTAAGACCATTTTGCACCCCTGCTAACATGTCTTCTATCTTTCCTGGTTTTAAAAATATGTGGTGTATTCAGAAAAGCAAGAGGTTTGCCCATTCCCCCTGAAGGCAATAATTAAGGGGAAATGCATTGCAACACGTGGTCAGTGCTAGAATGATGCTTCCTACATGAAGCATCTTCCAGAAATCAAGATGTCTGCCACTAACATGAGCAGGACGCAAGTTATTAGGGAGGAAGCAACATCATAATGAGTGTGAGTGTGTTGTGTTGGAGAGAAGGTTAGGAGACTGATTTTGTTGAGTGACTAAAGTTTATGAATTTGTGTCAACTGCTTATGTGTTTGTGTGAAGTGATGGGAGGGGTACAGTTTAAGTGGTGTTCCGTCAACCTGCAAAGTTTGGGCTGATAAATGAAGGGAAAGTGTAGGTGAAGAGTGTGTATGCTGAAAGCCACAATACATACGACCATGGAAAGTGTTTATGTGGGAAGCACCGTAACTTAAAATTGCCATCCTTTTGGTGCATGATTAAATTTGCAAGTGCTTTAACCTTTCTCTTCAGTTTTAGGTCTTTTGAGCGTAAGACACACGTAACACATGCCACACTGAGAGACAGGAAGGAAGGAAGGAGCTATGGAACCAAAGGTTCATAGAGGTACCCTGTGATATTCTTGTGCAAACCTCAAATGCTGTATACAATGGTACCTTGGTTCTCAAATGTAATCCGTTCCGGAAGTCCGTTCAACTTCCGAAACATTCGAAAACCAAGGTGTGGCTTCCGATTGGTGCAGGCGCCCCGGACACAATAGCCGACAGCTGCAATGGATGTTTGGCTTCTGAAAAACATTCGAAAACTGGAACACTTACTTCAGGGATTTCTGTGTTCAGGAGCCGATTTGTTTGTCAACTAAGTCGTTCAAGAACCAAGGTTCCACTGTACATTGACCGCAGTAGTAATTGCTGATCCCAACTTTGCTATGCTAACTTTAATACCTCCAGTGGGAGAATAAGACCTTGCTCTCAGTTGAGTCCCAAACAAATTGAACCAAACTTACTAATACATTTTAGTTCATTAATTACATACACTTTTTTTCGGGGGTGGGGTTACTTTCAGGTGATCAGCAGCATGTCCTAAGAATATGAATCCTCCCCACTGAATGTTGGGAGCTCGGGACAAGTTTGGCTTTATCTCAAGGTTCTCAAGGTTAATTGTCCACATAAAGGAGGAATGCTACTTAGGAATACAAAATCCGCTCGAATTTTAGTTGCCACAGAAA